AGTGTGCGTACGCAGTGCGACGCTGCCTTTCGCTCTTTTTAACACGTTTCTCTCGAGATTTTAACGGAACTGCCTAAAGCTAACATTTTCAGAAGAGGGAAAGGTAGTGAGATAACGTGGTACCTTTGGGAACCTTGCTGGGGAACAAATGATACATCGATTTCTTGCCTTTCATACTAACTCCAGACTGACTTACTTCTTGAGCTGTGATATTGGCATCCCAGGGGATGTTTCACTTATGCTTTCTTTCTGGGCTCTGATGATCGATCTCGCTGAAACGTTGGCCGTGAATAAATAGTGTTTAACACCTTTGTCTACGCTCAGTCAATTGATGCGATGACAGCTGCGTCTTCAGTGCTGTTTCAGAGCAGCAAAAGACGCATATTTCCAACCATTTACGATAGCGAAATCGCTTGAAATTTCCTTGTCTTTATGGTATTATAACTGTTTCAACGAACAAAACAATTTATTTATTCAAAGCTATGACCGTGTTTTGGAATTCAATGCAGGGCATCCATTCTGCCCCCATTCCTTGATGTTCCGATTGAAGTAGAACCAGTGATCACTGTCGACTTTATTGGTGACGGTGTTGCTACAATAGATTCCGTCGGCTTCTTCGCAAATGGTATATGGTTGGCCAATAGCCATATCGTTATTATACCTGGAAATCAACAGCTGTATATGTAGTAGTGACCTCGGGGTAAGAAAAGCTTACCAGACTTCATAAAGGTGATGAAATGGTTGGTCATCACCTTCTTGTGGAGGCGTGTGAGGTACAGGATCATGACGACTGACAACACGATATGAGTATGGGAACTAAAATTTTCTTCATAATTCAAGGAACAGAACTGGTATCAAGATACTTACTGCTGCATCATGAAAATCCGCGTAATCATAGTCACCAGTTCTAGGTTGACCGAAGGTGACAAGCTTGATATATCTTGGTAAAAACATTCCCCATTTTACTAAATATGAAGCTCCTACGGAGGCTATGGATGCTCCCAAAGAGTGGCCGGTAATCTGCAGCAAACATCACTTCAATTAGTAATAGATAGAGGAGGTGAAAATTGCGGGAGAGGAGAGGAGCGGGAGCCGGGGGGAGGGGCGGAGGCTTAGAGAGGGTGTGATAACCATACCACAA